ATTTATTTATTTGAACAGAAACGTCGAAGAAGGAATAAACGAAATTAAACTTCGATTGCGACAAAAAATAAAAGAAGTAATTCCTTGCGATGTCTTGCAAAAAGACATCATTTCCTCGGACGTGGGAAAGTTTGATGCGTTGTTTACGTCTTTGTGCTTAGAAGGGGCTTGCGCCACTCTAGAAGATTATAAAACCGCCGTTAAAAACTTCGGAAATTACATTTTGCCGAATGGAGGATTTGTAATGGTGTCCGTATTGGAATGTTCTTATTATTACTTAGGAAACAATGAAAAACTTCCATCTCTTTTTGTAACTCGAGAGTTTGTAAATGAAACATTAAAGGAAGCCGGATTCGTTAAAAAACATTGCTTTTTTATGGAAAATGATCAACAACATCCGGTTGCTAAATTTAGCGGTTACTTAATATCATCGGCTATTAAATCAGTTTAACAAATTATATGTGTTGTTNTATTTATTTGAACAGAAACGTCGAAGAAGGAATAAACGAAATTAAACTTCGATTGCGACAAAAAATAAAAGAAGTAATTCCTTGCGATATCTTGCAAAAAGACATCATTTTCTCGGACGTGGGAAAGTTTGACGTGTTGTTTACCTCTTTGTGCTTAGAAGGGGCTTGCGCCACTTTAGAAGATTATAAAACCGCCGTTAAAAACTTCGGAAATTATATTTTGCCGAATGGAGGATTTGTAATGGTGTCCATATTGGAATGTCCATATTATTACTTAGGAAATAATGAAAAACTTCCATCTCTTTTTATAACTCGAGAGTTTGTAAATGAAACATTAAAGGAAGCCGGATTCGTTAAAAAACATTGCTTTTTTATGGAAAATGATCAACAACATCCGGTTGCTAAATTTAGCGGTTACTTAATATCATCGGCTATTAAATCAGTTTAACAAATTATATACGTTGTTTTACACTAAATTGCTTTATTATAATTACAGTTGAATGCAACTTTAAACTGTAGGATTATATGAATGTACTGTACAGTACATGCTTCGGTTTCGATATTAATAACATATTGTATTTGATTCTACATTATGTCTAAAGATAAAAACTTAAGAAGCATAAAATAAAATATTTGTGTTACGAGCGATATTATTATTATATCATACAGTTTTGTATAATGTGCTTTACAAATCATGACATA